TTGAACATAAATGTCTTCAAGAGTGAATAACATGAAAACCGTAAGAGCTTGACAATTTGAATATAAGTACATTTCCTATGTGGAATTGAACATGCTATCAGATCTTCCACTTGTTTCGAGCATTATTGAATGGACAAACAGGATAGGATGTAAGTTACCAATGTAACAGAGTGCCACTAGCGCCCTCTATGAGCAATCACAAAATGAGTTGAAAATTAGTATTCCTTATGTCAGAAAACCTGAAACTACAAGATTTCATTTTCATGCTGCTAAAAGTCGAAAGCTATTGAGACATTTTAAAATTGAGTCTCCCCCTAGAACACCCTGTATATATCTAATAAATCAGCAACATTTTCATCAGGCATGTTAGGCTAAATGACAATATTTCAGTGTAAACTATCTGTATACTTTCGACTGTCAAACATCTTGTGAATGGATTAAAAAAAACTTATTTCACTATATGAAAATAGCCTTATATTTTATTCACATTTGTCTCACAACTATGGAAGTAAACAGAAACATAGACAGAATATTGAAAGAAACGATAAAATACATAGGTAACAAAGTAGTGTTTTGGCATGGTTCATATAGACCTGGAAAAATCCATTTGGGGTTATTTTCCGTTTTTGGGCAAACTATTCATACAGTGTGTCCCACTTACCATGCTCACCATGGGTATCTTTTTAACGGTGAGAGATACGAGGTCGGTTAAATGACACCAAATGTGGAGTTTGTCAGGGCCAACTATAATGTGAAAAAACATTTTGAAAAAATCTATTCGTTTTTGTTTTATACGCAAAAAACAGATTTTGATCATTTTCATGTCTCCTCCGTAACTTCTTTATTTATGAAAATATTCAAATAGGAATTCCACATTCTTATGGCAGTTTTTCGAAGTGATTTCGAAAAAAATATGAAATTTATACCAACTCTTCTAGAATTTGAGATATCAGCACCAACTTTAGTTTTTCAAATGTAGGTCATAGCTCACTATGACTTAGTTACAAATAACTTCTTTTTCTCTTCCAGATGATATGTCGCAGTAATAGTTTTGTGTTGATAACAACGGAGTTATCGTCATTTATACAAGAACAAAAAATTGGCAGCCGCCATCTTGAATTCATAAATTTTAACAGAAAAATCATGATCTCCGACTTCAAAAACCCCACTTACCAATTTTGAATGGAATCGGACCAAATCTTGTCCGCCATCTTGGAGCAGCAATTTTTTTCAATTTCAACAAAAATTCCATAACTCCGATTAACTTGAAATTTGACAGGTGTTCATAATTTCGGTGACAATACATTATGGAATTTTTGTTGAAATTAAAAAAAATGGCTGCTCCAAGATGGCGGACAAGATTTGGTCCGATTCCATTCAAAATTGGTAAGTGGGGGTTTTTGAGGTCGCAGATCATGATTCTTCTGTTAAAATTTATAAATTGAAGATGGCGGCTCCCAAATAATTTTTTGTTCTTGTATAAATGACGATAACTCCGTTGTTATCAACACAAAAGTATTACTGCGACACATCATCTGGAAGAGAAAAAAAAGTTATTTGTAACCAAGTCATAGTGAGCTATGACCTACATTTGAAAAACTAAAGTGCTGATATCTCAAATTCTAGAAAAGTTGGTATAAATTTCATATTCTTTCCGAAATCACTTTGAAAAACTGCCATAATAATGTGAAATTCCTATTTGAATATTTTCATGAATAAAGAAGTTACGGAGGAGACATGAAAATGATCAAAATCTGTTTTTTGCGTATAAAACAAAAACTAATAGATTATATCAAAAAAAATTTTCACATTATAGTTGGCCTTGACAAACTCCACATTTGGTGTCATTTAAGCGACCTCGTATCTCTCACCGTTTAAAAGATACCCATGGTGAGCATGGTAAGTGGGACACACTGTATAATTTAAATTGTATTTCTTCGAAGAGGCTATCAAGGATATTTGAAAATATGAATTCTATTGAAACACCTACCTGCTACAATAAGGTTTTTGTTCGCGTCTGTTAAGAAATGTTATTTTTGCGGAATTTTCGATAATTTGACAAACCACTTTTTTTTGACCGAACAAATTCTATATACCTGGGAACTATGAACTGTTACCTACAATTTTATGATGATTCCTACCACCAATGTTGCGAACACGAAATTCTAGCGCAAATTCAAAAAAATACAAATATTTCATGTAACCCCGACAGTTTCGAAAATCTCCGTTTTACTACTTGGAGAACACTTTCGGAAATTGTGAAGAGTATGAGGGAAATTATTTTCTGAAAAATCGGGTAATGGTGTTGGTGTTAAACTGATTATTCCATGACGTATATCAATCAGAATGGTGTGTCTCGATAGTACGAATCTGAATAGAACATCTTGTCAGCTTGTATGACATGGAGATAACAGTTCCATTAGGTCGTGGAATTGTCTCAATGAATACAACTCGTGCTCACAATACTTTGGAAAATTCTATCAGAAATCTTAAACTCGATCAAATTGCTTTGAGGTTCTAACACCTACTGCAGACTCGTGGTGATTGAATCTCGTTTATTCCATACATAATTGCGATAGTATTGTGACTACTCATGGTATATTACCCCTGAAAGTCCATGATGACAAGATCACTAATTAGTAATTCTCATAGCATCACTGACATCGGCGTTGGTTACATGAAGGGAATAGTAATCCAAGAAGTATTTCAAAGTTTAAAAAAACATATTCTCAGCAAAATCACCAAAGAATCGTTCGATAATCACGTTGAATAAAATATTATCGAAACGCATCCATATTCAAATTCATCGTCATAACCAAATTGGCAACGTTGAAAATTGAACATATTTTCCACCTCTTCAACGTTGTCAATAAACGTTAAATCTACGTATATGTGCCCATCAGTTGGAAAAACCATAGAAATAATACCTATGTATATGGGAAAAACAGTATTTGAAATATATATGTATATAAATAGAAACAATTTCATGTCATATGTTAAACATAAATATCGTAATATCGGGATGTTCCAATGACATGTTCATCAATTCTAATTTTTCATTGTTGAATATAAACATATCATAGTAAATCAATAATAATTTTCATCCTTCCAATATTCTACAATAAATATTCATATATCTACCTACCTTTTGTATTATTAGTTACTAAATGAAGTTAATCTATTCTTGAATGTAGGTCAGAAGCGAATCAACCATCATAAATAATTAAAAAATAGAACCCATCCCCAATAGAGCACACAGAGGGAGGAAATAATCAAATTGTTCTAATATACAATTGAACTGGGTGACTGTTGAAAAACTCCACAAGTGTGCCATTTTATATCATTCAATTCTGATGAATTAAAAAATAAATGGTTAGGATAAATGAATTACAAAAGGCAACTTGTTTACACATAAAAATCACAGTCGTTGACAATGTATTTGAAGTTGAAAATATTTAATTTTTTTGGATGTCAAACTCGATATCAAATAAGAAACGTAGTGGGCTCAAATAAGACAAGTAACTATCCCCCATGAATTTATTCACATTTCTGGATTAGAGAGGTCCTTTGATATCCATTGAGGAATATTCGATAAATGATAGGACTAGAAAAATGGAAAGAGAACTTGTATGTTTCGGAGCTTCGTTTTCGAGATAGAAGATGCTGACGTTCTGCGAGTGATATAGTAGGTATAAGATTCCACGGAGATTCGAAACATTGAATGGTAAAGATTATAGGCTGTTTCATTTGAAAAAATGATCGCGAAAATTCCAAAATCGAATGAAATATAGGGTGTTCCTTTCGAAAATATTGTCACAGACGTAAATAAATGTAGCAAATTCAGAATCGAAATCGACTTATTTCAGGGGAACCCTCAGAAATCAATACTTCAGCTGAAATAGTTATTAAGATGTCAGAGGCGTGAAGTAGGCTTTTATGGACCGCAGCTATTAACATGCCTAGATCCATGAAAGCAAGTTACGCCCGAAATATATGAAACATATTATGCACGACCGATTTACACAATTGTTTACTGTCACTTTGCAATTTATTGATGATTTTAAATTCATTTGGCCAAATTATGCATGCCACTGAAAAAAATCGTGATTTTTTTTAACGCCCAATCACCTACTTCGCCGACCGCCGGACTACTTTACTGCCCGCTGTACTCCTTTTCACCCTATAGAGCCCTAACGTGCTACTTTACGTCCGCGAATTCGGGCGATAAAGTGCCCTTTGACGCCCGGTCGTGAATAAATGAATTTTTCCTATAACACAAAATTGCTCTTGTTCTACTGTGTTCGATTCATCAAAGAGGTACTTTGTTTTTCATCAATTTTATTTCCGTATTAGTATTTGAAAAAAATCCCATTGCCATATGGATTGTCAAATTTCAAGCAATTTTCTAATAGATGAGCATTACTTGAGAGGAAATCAGATGGCTACAAGACAAAGAAATCAAAAATGTCGCTGATATCTGTTACAGCTGTAGAAAAATTATATATAGTATATAACTCGCACGGAATGCTTACTTCCCATCACTCGAATGATTGCAAACTCTATTCTCGTTGGAAATCAATATCATTCCGTACTCGTTGAACAATTAACTATATCATTCAGTTCTTCACTCAATCACTGTATAACTGGAGTAGTTAAAAAATGACAAGGCTAACTGTATGCTTTTATTTGAAAAAGTATAAGGTTATTTTCGAAAATTCGTTATTGATAGTTCTCAAGCTGAGTACAAACATCATAGTTGTGAATTTCTGAGGTTTCCTCATCAAATCAGTCGGTGGTATGCTTGTATTAATAGGCCAGTCATTGGAAATTATTACCTGGAAATAAGTCCGGAAGTTTTGAAACTTTGTAGGTTTATTGGTTCGGGGATCTAGAACTATAATTCACTAAATGCACATTTCGAGACATGCCACTGGTGCCATCTTGTCAAGATGGCACCCAAAAATGATGGTTGAGCTATAATGAGAATATTCTTAACTCACCTCCAAGGCGGCCGCAGTTGATGCATCGTGGTCATTTTCTACTGTTTCTATCTGCTTGAAAATTTCACTACTAATTCCAGACACCTGAAAAAAGTAAAAAATAGTATATATGTACATAATATAGTACCTGAAGGAGTATGCATTATCAACAGATAATATAGCGTTATTTCATCAGAGGATCAGGAGTGCTGAAATCGAGAATATGATCGAAATGAAATTTGATGATATGTTTGTGAGTTTGCAACAGGAAAAGCAAGGCTGAAATATTATTGACGGGAAAAAAGTTCGACATTTCATTTCTGTTGACAGGTTACAAAACGTAACTTTTCATGAAATTACATGAAATTAAACAAAAGTGAGCACTTTTTTCCCGGATATATCAGTGCACTGTTGATAGCTTTTGTTGTTCCAGTTCCGAAAAATAAGCCAATAACACCGTCTCCGGGAAAGAACTGCAAGTCCTTTTATCTTTCATTCCACTTCGTGGCTATTTAAATAATTACTGAACAACCATTAAATTCGCAATTATTCGAAATCAAATCACAGCATTAGACTGACAGATATTTGATTACTTCAAAAGATTGATTGAATATGCCTGCAAAAAGATGCCTGCAACCAACTTTTTGGAATAAAATCAAAGAATTGAATTGACAGATATTTCATTACTTCAAGAGGTTTCGATAGCAACAAAGATGATGCCTGCAAAAAGATGCCTGCAACCAGTTGAAAATTTCGAAATTCACATCGATAATTTTCTGATTTTATTATAATGTCATATCTTCTCAATATTGAATCGTCCTTTCTTTGGTCACAGCAAAAAATAGTGTATTATACACGAGAAACATATTAGATTTTGCTATCATTTGATAAATAGGTAAATATTTTCAGAACGATGATATCGATTATATATATATCGCTAATGTATTCAACTGTTTCGAAAATCATGTTTCAAAATTCATCAAGAAGATTTTTGGAAGTGTCAATCTATATTTCAAAACTATTAAAATATAATTATGACTTGGAGTGACCATCCAATATTTTCTTCTACCATCCTGGAATCGTTAGCTCGCTTTTCTATGTGAACATGAGAATTAATGTGGACCAGATGAGGATTGTTGAATGTAGCCATGGTGGGTATATACTAAATGTGCGCCTGCATGACGAGAATTTCTCGAATGTTGAAAATATATTGAATAGAATAGAATCGTGCCAATTAAATGTATTTCTTGAATGTGGAAATATAGTGAATGTGATAATCTATTGAATGTGGAGAAAGTGGAAATATACTGAATCAGGCCTGAAGAGAATTCATTACAGGTGAGCATAGTGGGAATAGTTAGGAATAATCCGACGTATAATCCCACCTTTTCCACTCAATTGCACATTTTCTGGTCCCCACGAAAAGAGATATCCTGTGAGAACCAAGAGAAATGAGGTAGGAATTGGTGTTCCTCTCATATTTCTGGAGGTTAAATGCCTCGGGAAACACCTCCCTTGACAATGTGTTCCAGAGCCTCGCTGTTTGTTGGATGAACGAGTCTTTGGAAAAAGATATTCTGCAGGTCTCCAAAGTGACCATCACGAAGGGGTGCGAAGCCTCAACTCGACGGTTTAAAATCGCGGGGACTGCCAAGTGAGGAACAATTGTTGATATTTCTATAAAAAAGAGCCAGATCGACAACTTTTCTACGGTATCCCAGAGAAGTGAGTGAGTTCGTGAGCGAGGCATCTGAATCTCAGATAAAAATTACCGCTTCAAGTATTACTATATTATCATCAGGATATGGTGTCTCCAAAATATAAATTTATTATAATTGTGTAATCCCTCGTTGCTTCCGTATGTTTGTACCAATCGAGAAATAAAAACAGTACTTGATTCTATTTGTTTCTCTTTGAAAATTCAGTTATTTTTGCTAAGATGGGCGGACCATTCCACAAACACACATCAAGAAAAAACCACAAAGTGAATTGTTTTTGAAGTGGTCTTTTGGTGTAATCTAACCAGGAACTTCCATTAGGGCGAGTTTATCCTGGAATAAGTGAATTTGTTCCGCTAAATGTTTCAGGATAACATACAAAACAAATCGCTAACGATCTAGTTAGCAAGTTGTTCTTGTAGGGAGTGTATACACGGTGACCCGAAAGGTTCTGGCTAGTCGTTATCTCGAAAGCAATACCAATTATTAGCACTACGATTTGGTGATTTCAAACAATTGAAAGCGCTGTACATTCTTGTAGTATTCAGAAATGCTCCATAATACCAATTCAACTTATATTGTTTTCGACATTAATTTTGTGTAAACCTACTATAACTTGCGATAGAGCTCTGAAGAGCAAACAAAAAACTGATTCCTATTGAATGGGAACATTCTGATACTTTATGAACCAAAAAATGTTGAGACATGTGAAGAAATGCATTGAGAATCCACATTCACTGATTGAGAAAAATACTAATTCATTCTCAGTATATTCAACAGAAAAACAACTACTTTCCTGAATATATGCCACGACGAACATTGAATTACTTCTATTGAACACACACAATAAGAATTTGAAAATATAATCTTCTGGAATCGAGAATTTGTTTTCTCTTATGAAAATATATATGATATCATTCAGAATAGTCAACAGAAAACAACTCCTTTCCTGGTTATATGCCACGAATGTTATTTATCCGATTTGATTAAAGAATGTCAATTCTTAATTTTAGAAAATTTTTATTTTCTCTTGAGTGTTCAAAACAAAGTTCAGAACAAATGTAATCCATAGCCAGCAAAGTATTTGTTTCCTGTTGAATATTCTGAATGAACTTATACACATATATATTCTTTTCATGTGAAAGAGAATTTAAATTCTCAAATTCATATTGTTTGTGTTCAATAGATGTAATTCAATTTTCGTCGTGGCATATAATCAGGAAAGTAGTTGTTTTCTGTTGAATATATATACACCTAGAAAGTAGTTAGTAATTAGAATACGAATTCTCGAAGATTGAAACAGTTTTTAAAAAAACAGTCTCCTCCTTAGCGAAACACGTGTCGAGGCGTTAAAAATATCGTAGTGTATTATCGTGCCAAAGGTTCCAGTCTTCGATATATCAAAAATAACATTATTCATCAAAATTAAGTACCTAATAGGTATATACCTACATCATTCATCTAAACAAAGGAAAAAAACATCACATCATACAGGGTGTTTCAAAAATAGCCTGCCAGACTTCACCAGCGGCATCTTCGACCAAAAATAGGAAGAAAAGTTCCAATAAACGAGTCGAGAAATGTCGAACTCCTAAGGGAGTTACGGCCCCTTGAGAGGGGGGTCCTGAAGATGATATTTCTCAAATATTTTCGAAACACCACGTGATGAAATAATGCAATTTGGTACACGAACTAAACTTTCCTTGCCCAATGCGGTGAAAATAAAATCATTTCAAAGTTCTATTCAGCAGTGTATGATACAGGGTGGGACTACATTAAATATTGCTCAAACTTCTTCGTATGCATATTTTTTGACAATACAATCTTGTATTATGAAAATCCTTATCGTTTCACGAAAAACGATGCTCCTGTTCCGCATAGATAAGATGTATCATTTTCGAGGGGAATTGATTCAAAAATATTGATGCACTCACATCCGAGCTCACATCTAATGCATAACGTTGCCAATTTTCAAATCATAGTCAACCTCAAGAAAGCGCAAAAAATAGGAAAATGATGATGAAAAAACTACTTCAATGTTTGTGCATTTTTTTCCATTTCCACTACACCTCATCGCAATGTTATTCATAATATCTGAGATGTAACAATATTTTTAAATTGGTTTTACTCGATAATAATAATACATCTGATCGTCACGGAACAAGAGTTCCTTTTTTCTGCTGAAAGGTGTGAAATTTAATAATCCGAGATTAAATTGTCGAAAAATATGCATAAAAAAATTTTGAGTAATATTTAATGTAGTCCCACACTGTATCATACACTCCTGATTGAAATTTCGAAATAACTATATCCTCACTGCATTGGGCATGGAAATTTCAGGTTTTGTACCAAATTGCATCTTTATATTACATGGAGTTTCGGAAATACTCAAGAAACATCATCTTCAGGAGACATTTCTCGACTCGTGTTGGTTGAAAGTTTTCTTTCTATTTTTGGTCGTAGAAGCCGCTGGTGAAGTTTGGCAGGCTAATTCTGGGACACCCTGTATATTCGAAAGGAATAAAAATAGAATGAAAAGTAGGTAACACGTTTATTCTAAACAAATAAACAAAACAAAAAGTTTTATCCAACATCATTTCGCCGTAAGAGAGAGAATAGTCCGTTTTCGTTTCACGCATTACGTCGTTTTACAACAATCATGGATGGTGTTTTTGAAGTATTCTTGAATGAAATGTTTTGGTCTATCTGTGCTAAATAGTCTGAATTGTTTCTAAATATGTTGTATTATGAATGAAATTCTCAAGTCTGCAGTCGACACGCAGAAATATTTACCTGCGAAACTCTCGCACGAAACACGAGAAATCTTGCACGAGACTCGAGACGAGACCAATAAAAGTCTCGTCTCGTCTGGTCCTAGTCTCGTCTCGAGTCTTGTCTCGAAAACGAGACGAGACCATGCGAGACTCTCGAAAACGAGACTCTCGCGGACACCACTAGAAAACTCTTTTATTATTTATTTCAGGAAAATAGTTTTGCATGTTCTAAAATCTAAAATACGATCGATCATCAGATATAAAATCGTTTGAGTCGTATACGGGGTGTGTCAAATATAAAGGTATAGGTATACTCAACTCTTGAGTACAATTATTCACATTCTTGACACGCCGCGTATATGATTAGAAAAATATATATCTGATGAGTGTATACCTGCTTCTAGAATTAACAGAACGATTCATGAACAATAACTTTCTTCCTAAAATGAATAATAAAGAAGTTGTTTCTTAGTGAGACATACTGTACGTACATTTCGATGAAATTGAACAGAACATTCAATAAGAAATCCCCCCGTAGCGCAACAATGGATTTATATCTGGAATGACGTCCTTGCTAAAAATCAACCTATTCCATAAACCAAATTTGGATTAAAAAAATTCAACGGTTCTTGAAATAATGCGAAAGAACAACCTGCAGCGAACAATTTCACTTACATTTGCACCTCAGGACATGAAAGTGTTCACATCTCACCCTGGATATATTATATGTTATTTTCATGTATTTTTTCGAAACTCACCTTTCTAAAGTCCCCCTGTATGACCATGGGCGGCGGATGGGCGGTTCTTGAGTTGGGAGCAGGTGGTGCTCGCAGGGGAGAGGCTGTGAGATCCAAAGCCTCGCGCCCATTATCCTGAAACGAAAAAATTAGTCTAGATAATTTCCATATTAAATGAAATCATCTTATCCATGTACTATACCGGGTATCGGGCCACCCCTGTACCTTCTGTATTCGTAAACGGATTGTTCTGAAATTTGGTAAAGGTATATAAGCAACCATTTCGAATTTGATCACATAACAATTCAATATGGCGGACTTTTGGTTTCTCCGGAAATGCCAGCAACTTTGATTCATCAAATGAAACACCCTGTATATTATTACATATTCAAGTTCGATAGGTCAAAACGAGTACAATCTTCATGTCAAATATAATTCCTTCGAACATGTTGAAATGAGATGTGGTCAAAGCTATTCACAAGGAGTCCAACATACTATACTAGAGAAACATGATTTCCTGTGAAACATTATTGTTTGTGTCACTTATCGATGAATCATCTCAGTCACATATTTAGTGTGTTCCATTTGAAAAAAAACGAAGTTGCTGGCATTTCCAGGAGAAACAGAAGACCGCCATATTGGTTTGTAATGTCATCAAATTCGAAATGGTTGCTTACATAAATGTTTTGAATTTCAGAAAATTCCGTTCACGAATTACAGTTACAGGGTGGCCCGATAAACTGTGTCACCCGGTATAACTAACTATTCTCATGATGAATGAGGAAACACATTGTTATATGATGCTAGACACACTGTATTGATTTTCCAAAACGTAATCATATGCACTAGGCCGCAGATATCAGATTGCTTTTCTATACAGTTATCCATAGGATATCAGATGGAAAATTCCATACCAGTAATTCGCAACTAATCAAAGTTTCTTTGACAAACTACCAAAGCGATTTTAGTGGATTTGCACTCTCACTTGTCGGCGCTACTAAAACGTGAGGTCAGTGTCAAAGTCATAAATCCCAAAATTTTGCCGGATAGCCCCAAAGACTATGACCTGTCTTATCAAAAATATAAGAAAAAAAGTATGAAGAATATTTGAACAAATATAAAACCCCAAGTTATCGAAAGACTTGAGCTGACTTACGTTTTCTTACTCTGAATGTGGAACCTTACGACCAATTCTTCCATTGACGGAGAAGAAGATATCGAAAAAAGATGCCAAATGACAAGAGAAAAAGAATCAGTTCTACTCGGAATAAAAGGATTTGTTACATCAACAAATTATTTAGGCTTGAATTATTTTTGTTGGACTGAGCAATTTTTTGTTGAATCAAATAGCTACATGCCGATACCCCCGAGGGGTAAGGTAAATGCTCATTTCATGGAAGCAGCTTGTTCAAATCGAGAATGAAGTTTAATTGATTCAACAATCAATTCCATCAACAAAATATATGGTTATCTAAAAAAAAATATGTCGATCCAAAATAATGTCGATGTTGATTCAACTATAAATATTTTGTTGATTTGATGAAATAATGATCATTATGATAAGAATATATCTTCAAAACAACATATAAGTTTTCTTATTCCGATGTAGCAATAAACTAGTTTCGAACGGATCATTTGCTTGAATTGAGCAAATAAACATGTAATATCAACGAATTATTTCGTTCATTCTATACATCAAGTTGAATTTTCGCCTCTAGATGGCAATCTTTTGGCCTCGTCTATGCCTGCCTCGAATTCATTATGTACCTGAAGACTGATTCCTGAAATATCAGCTGGATAAATCGAACTCAGTCATCTCAGGATGCTTAGCAAGCCGAAATAGTTTCGCATCAGCTGAAGAGAAGTAACGCCTGGAGATATTTGCTAAAAGTCGAGTAGTTTCCTAGTTTAGTACATTCTATTGACGTGAAATTTCAGAAAAATTCTCGAATCAATACTGAAGTTGGTTCAAATACAGTTCCTCTTGAATCAACGGAATATTTCATCGGGTCAACAAAACATTTCATTGAATAAACCAAACATTTCATTGAATTAACGAAATAAGTCATTGAATCAACCAAATATTTCTTTGAGTCACCCAAATATTTCATTGAATTGACTAAATAATTGATTGAGTCAATAACTTGTTATTTTGAATCAAACAAAATGATTATTTAAGCCATATCAATATCTCTTCATAAACAATGGGCGTGTACACCTTAGTAGAACTTTTAACTCAAACCATGTATATAATTATCCTTTTATACATAAATAATGATTGACGACATAATTCGATCGAAAAATCAACTGGAATGTTTTATTTTTGGACATAAATAATAGTACCTTCTGAAAAGGTTCCCTCTTATGACGTAGAAATCTCATGTCGCCATAGTTGAAAGAAAATACCAAACGCCCGAGGGAGACTGAGACAACTGATATATTGATTCTTTCAACTGTGATCTCACGCTAATTCACTCTGTCAGAAATCATGTATCATTCATGTCTGTCTGAAATAGTCTTGTTTCAGTATTATGGTTTTGATGTCACATCATCGCCTCGTTTTCAGAGGTCCGAAAAATCGGGGATTTCAATATTTTTTTTATAAAACGTAGGGAGCTCACAGCAAGGAACGGTTTGCGGTGGTGAGCTAGTTTGGGTGAGTTCTATCGAATTATGAAATACAATTTTTTTGTGATATAAGCCCATTCGCGAATCTGCTCGATTGAATGAGATCCAGAGTTCATGCAAGACCTATTTACTCGATTCAATCTTCAAATTCGCTCCGAAAGAAGATATATATAGATTTACTCATTTCAAGATTATATTTTGTCGTGCATATATGACACTTATATTCGCTTCATTCAATTAAGTTTTGCTTGATTCAACAATTCCTTTTCTTTTTCGTGCTATATACCAACCCTTACCTCACGTTTCAGTCACAGAATTGTCGAGTATTCTGTGTTTTAGTGGTGGGTTTTGGTGGACAATAAATACAACATATCTATTCACCAATACTGAATTCGTTGAAAAAGAATATCGACACCTACTCCTGCAGAGATAACGATGGAAAAAACTTATTATCACGAGAAATTGTAAGATTATTGACACTGCTAAGTAGCATAGATTAAGAAGACCAAAGTAGGTTTCATATCATTGAATATGAGAATTCAATAAAATGGCGAGAAAAATTGTGCCTTCGCCAATAATTCAACTATGAACTTCATTTTCGCCACCGAAGATCTACTGGAGATCTACTTGCCTACGTCACCCATTTATGGCAAGCTTCATTAGAAAAACACGGGGAATCTCTAGCTGTCGCGTTGTACATATCGAAAGCATTTGACCGTGTTTGGCACGAAGGACTCTTCCACAAACTACCATCATACGTCTTACCACCTCAGCTATGCCATTTCTTATCGAGTTTTCTTTCAGGCAGATCGCTTCATGTGGTGGTGAACGGTGTATCGTCTGATACCATTGGCATCAATTCCGGCGTTCCACAAGGATCAATTTTGGCACCAACACTATTCCTTCTTCATATCAATGATCTGTTGGGAGTAACAACTTGCCCCACCCACAGCTTTGCAGATGATAGAACCTCCCAGAATTCCCATTTCTTCCCAGGAAACTAAGAACTCACGGCGCAGGCAGGTCAATGCTGTCAATGAAGACCCTGCTGAAATCACAGCCTGGGGAACGAACAACCTAGTTGAATTCAACGCCACCAAAACTCAAGCCTGTATTTTCTCTAGAAAGGCGGAACTCAGTATGCCCGACATTGTAATGTCTGGCACCACCATCTCCACCAAGCCCACCATATCTATGCTCGGTATTTCCATCAGCAACACTCTTTCATGGGATAATCATGTCAGCTATCGCAAAAGCTGCTTCACAAGAACTCGGATTCTTGGTCAGTGCTAAAAGCTACTTTACACCTCAACAGCTTCTCATGATCTACAAAGCACAGATACGGCCTGTTCTAGAATACTGTTTCCACATATAGGGTTCAGCACCAAAACATACGCTGATGCTCTTAGATTCCATCCAGACAAGAGCCATCCGCCTGGTGGGTGACGCCACACTCACTCACTCTTTGACATCATTGGAACACCGTAGAAAGGTCGGCGACCTCTCACTTTTCTATCGATACTTCCACGGGAAATGTGCTTCGGAAATCTCTGCTATCATCCCTTCACTAGCAATTCCAGTCAGACGAACTAGACAAGCCCAGTCAGCACATCCTTTCGTTGTCAACCTCGAAAGATGTCGAACAGCACTTTATCAAAACTCCTTCATCCATAGAACGGCTAGGCTCTGGAATTCATTGCCTGAGGAAGTATTTCCAACAACATATAATCTCCAGAAGTTCAAAAAAAAAATCTGATACTTACCTCCTATTCCTATCCTCCCTAGGAACGCCGATGTTCTCTGAACATTATAGGGATTCCCTTTCGTACGCTCCAAGCGATAAAAAAAATAAAAAAAAAACTACAGCTATCTACAGCGTAGATACAAATCAAGCCAGATTGCCAAGTTGGATGGAAAGCCTATAAAACTACATCTGAAATGTCTGAGGAGAATTGTCTCCGTTCCATCACTGCGTATTCCATTCATCTTGACCTGACAGCAACAGGAAAGAATACTCAAGAAACCATTATTACAAATGTGCGTTTACTCGGCTCGAAGGATCAGGAATTTGTTCCTCGCTTCCACTGTTTCTGTCTAGCAATTTCTCGCATACATCACACACTTGCCAGAAAAAACGCCGAGAAATGTTTTATAACGTGATAACATCGGCATTGTGTAACTGACGTTCCGAGTGATTCCAGATTCATCTTCAGTTGGATAAATAGCCTCAGCCAAAAAAATATACATATTGGAGTCAAGTGATATTTTTTGAACTGCATCAACGTAACCAGAGGTGAACAATTCATCATTACGCTCATTTAACCAGTATAGAAACTTTTATACTTTCACGAAGTGTTTTCAACATACGGTCTTCTAGTGTTCAGATTTTTCAATGGTGGTCTTACCTGTGGAATGACAAAACCTGATCTGCCAGGTTGACAAGTTTTTTCTTCTTTCTTAATGATAACACAAAATTGATAACGGGAAAAACTACTTTCCTGGCTGAT